TTCTGGAGGAAGTATACCTGAAATGCTCCTGAATGGCCAGACTTCATCTCATCTATTTTGGTCATGTTGTCAGAAGGGACCATTCCCTGGAGAAGAATGTCATGCCTGGTAGGGTGGAGGGTCGACAAAAGAGGGGGAGGCCTTCCATGCTTCAACGAGATAGACTGACATGGTGGCTGCGATGGTGGGCTCAAGTATAGCAGGGATCATGGAGCTGGTACGGGATCGGGCAGTGTTTCGTTCTGCTGTGCATGGGGTTGCTATGAGTCGGAAACGACTCAACAGCACCTAACAACAACAACAATGAAGCAGGGAGTATACCCAAGACCATGTACAGGGTTGGCAGACAATGGTCCTATAAGTGTTATTTGTATGATCTGAATTCCCAGGTATCTAGTAGAGCTGACAAGGGACAAGGTTGTAGGCCCCTCTTGGTCACAGCCAGCTACCCAGAGGGACCAAGTAGTTGAACCTGTGGGCTCAGAACCATAGCCATAGGAGACATCAAGCTCAATTGGCATAACATACTACCCAAATCATTGTTCTATCTCCTATGTTGGCAAGTAGCGACTGGGATCTTAAAAGCTTGCAAGCAGCCATCTAGATGCAATGATGGGTCTCTCCTCAGTCAGAGCAAAGAAGAAAGAAGAAAACCGAAGATTCACAGGAACAATTAGTCCAGGCAACTGGTACACCATGCGATCTGCAGCCTATACGACTATGAGACCAGAAGAACTAGATGGTACCCGGCTACCAATGTCAACCACTAGGAAGGGGATCTATGTAGAAGATCTTGGATAGAGAGGGAGAACAATATGGAACAAAACTCAAAATCATAAAAAAAGGGGAGGGACAGGTTTGCTGGTGTGATAAGAGCCTGGTGGAACCACTGAGACTATGTCCCCTAGCTGCCCTTCAGGTCTAGAATTAAACCCACACCTGTGGCTTCCAGCCAAACAAAAGACAGGCATATCAGTTGAACATCTACCTGAGGTATATACACTCCTTGGAGAGAACAATCATGGGAGAAAGAAGGGCTGTGTATGCACAGGGAGACAGCTCAGGGGGCAAGAGTGCGTGGAGGGATGGACACAGGGAAGAGGTAACTATGAGGAGGAAGTGGAAGGGGAGCTGTTGCATTGGGGTAAATTGTAGTCAATGCCATGAGACAAAGTGTATGTGAACTGCTGTATGGAAAGTGAATTTACTCTGTAAACTTTCACCCAAATCATCATCATCATAATAATAAAAAAAAACCAGAACGTATCAGTCTTAAAAAAAAAAAAAGTGCCAAGAACAGAAACATAAGTCCACTTTTATGACACATTATGAGAATCCCACTGCAGCGTAATTTGTAATAGCGAAAACTGAAACCACCTGTGGTGCAGTGAATTGCTTGGTCTGGCCCTTCTAACCATTGTCTTTGTGGCTCCCACCAGGTAACTAGGTGGGACTATGCAAATGTGAAGTGCTTGTGGCCCACCAAGGGGACTGGATAGCATGCTAATAACATAAACAAGATATATGGCACCCTGGTAGGTTGGGACCATGCAAATAATGCATAGGGAACCCTAACATGGGGACTGGTCAGTTTTGCCATTTTAGGCTTAAAATGAGTTATCCCAGAGGCAGAAAGGGCAGATATCACTACTATCAAGAAAGAAGAGCCAGGAGTGGAGTACATCCTTGGATCTGAGATCCCTGTGCTGAATCTTCTCAACCAAAGAGACAAGGAGGGCTGTGACACTTTGCTGAGACAGCAGAAGATGTCAAGAAGCAAAGGCAGCAAGAGACCAGATAGCAGACAGCACAGTGGGCTTACAGACCCACAAAGTAAGAAAGGTGAGCATCTTCAGGTCAAGGCTTACTGGCAGAGTGGGGCATTTCTAGGCACTTAACTGGTAGAGCTTTATAATACTTGCCCAAGCAGGGCAGAGGTTAAGGAGGTACGGAGCCAGGAGACCAAGGGCCAGTGAGCGGTACTGCTAAGAAAAGGCTGTCCTGATTGAAGAACTGTACCCAGAGTCATTTCTGATCCTGAATTGTAACCTGTGACTTCCCTAATAAACGCAATCATCATGAGTACTGTCTGTGAATTCGGTGTAGCCAATGCAACAGATTTTTGAACCCAACAGAGAAGAGAGTACCATGGGAGGGATGCTTGGTAGTCAAAACTGTTAAAAAGAAAAAAGGCTGGAGGGTGGTGGCATGTCTGACCTCCACATCTTAGGAAGCAGCCTTGGGCTGCTACTCTTAATCCTCGTCCTGCCTTGTGAAATTAGAAAAGGTCAGACACCACCTCCAGGCCATTTTTATACAACCTAAATGTCCAACAAGAAAGTGACAAAACTATGGATTTTCTCATGCTATATACAGCAGAAATGAATGAACTAGACCTACACGTATTAAGATAGGTAACTCTCAAAATCAATGTTGAGTAAAAAAAGCATGCTGCAGAATCAAAACCACAGTATGCTCTTGTCAACCTAAAATGTATAACCCTATAAAACAAAATTATGTATTGCATATGGATATACAAATACATAATGAAAATATAAAAACAAGAGTAAGACAATCCATTCATGATACTCTGAGATGGGAGAGCAGGGGCATGCCAGACCACCTCCACGGTATGTGAACTCTTACTTCCTAAAGCAAAATAAACACACACACACAACACGCACAAACATGCCATAATGTTAAGATTTCACATATTTGAATAGTAAATATATTGGTATTTCTAAATAATATTCTCCAGAGTTGACTGTTTACCTGAAATAGTTCAAAAAACTGTTTTCATGGAAAATTAAAATGAAATAGAGCCAGATGCCAACTTGATACTTGGCGAGAACTCTGCATCTGGAGACAGGGCTCTTTCCTTCCTGTGGACTTGTCCCAGCACTGAACACTTGCTGCAAATAGCTGCTGATGACCTCCAAAGACAGCGGCTTTCGTGAATAAAGATGGACCCCATCATTTTTGAAAGTGTGGTGTGATGAGAATCAATGATTAACATCACATCTTCCTTAGAATTTAATACAGTTCTAATAGACTTCTTTCAGTAAGCTTTCTTTCTCAACAGAGTAGCTTCCTCATGCAAAACACCGCAAGAGTAAGAGAAACAGCCAAGGCTGTCACAAAGAGGAAGGATGTAAACATTCTCAGATTAGACAGTGGTGTTGGCTGTACAGCTCAGTGAATGTACTGGAAAAACAATGAACTGTATACTTTAAAAGGGTGAGTTGTATGGTATGTGAATTATGTCTCCATAAAGGTGCTTTTGAAAACAAATGACTGCTTCATTTAAAATAGTGTATCAGCCCTCCAACAAAGCAATTAGCTCTCCATCGCAGTGCAATCTCACTCCCTGAGATCAGATGCTTGTTGATCTTTGTGTTACACATAGCACACTGTCAACAGGGGTGCATAAAATCTGCCACCTTCTCATAGCATCATGAAACAGCATCAGTCACAGGAGTTTTAAGTGCATTAGGAGCTGAAGATGTACATCTGTCCTGATGGCCAGCCTTTAGGTGTTAGAATACACTGGGGAAGATGCAGGTTGGCGGTAATTTCTAAAACAACTCTACTTTTCTGGAAAGAAGAATCCCCTCTTCTTTTCTACCAGACTTGGCGTAGTGCCTAAGGCAGGTGACTGCTAACCAGAAGGCTGGAGGTTCAAACCCACCAGCCACTCCTCAGAAGGAAGACTGGGCAATCTATTTCCATAGTGATACCACCTTGGAAACCTATGAGTCAGATCCAACTCAACGGTAGTGAGTTTGGTTTGGTTTGGTTTTTGATTTAAGTTACCAGAGGTGACTCCTGTTGTCCTTAAGAATTTAGAAACTGACAAAAAGGATAGAGAAATATTTTCTTACCTCTACATATCATTCAACAGCAGCAGATACTAAAGGAGAATGTTGTCAACTAAAAAGGAGGCAACCACATACCAAGGCAGACAGATAATTCCACTTCTAGGTATACATCCAAAAGACTTGACAGCTGGGACTCAAAATGATTTTGTACACCAACACTCACTGCAGCATTATTCACAGAAGTCAAATGGTGGAAACAACCCAAGCATCCATCAATAAATGAATGGATAAAGCAAATGTAGTCCATCCATGCAATGGACTATTACTCAGCCATGAAGAGAAATGAAAACTGTCACACATGCTGTGACACGGATGAACCTTGAAACATTACACTGAGGGAAATAAGTCAGATCCCAAAGGACAATTATTACATGCATCCACTTAATGACATATCTAGAACAGACAAATACACGGAGACCTTAGTTTATTAGTTGGTAACGAGGACAGGCAGGAGGAGAGAGAAAAGATGACTCAATGCTTAGGGGACACTGAACTCCTCAAAAGGGTGATGATAAAATTGGGAATAGATAAGGGTGATGGTTATTTACAATGATAAATATAAGTACATCACTGACATGTGAGGAACGCTGAAACAGTCAAATGGTTTGTTACATTTACACTTGCCCCAATAAAAATATATTAATTCATTTTTAAAAAGTGAAGGGAGGGCTGGAGGAAGGCTGGTTAGAAAGGAAGCAGAACTGTGAGGACACAGGAAACTGGTTAGGGCCTAAGCAGCAGCTTTCCATTGTCATGCCTTAGTAGGAGGAGCAAGGGCTAAAGATGAGGCCCAAACCTGTTCTTCTTCGGTAAAGGGCACAAGAGCCAATGGCGGCAGGGGCTCCTCCTGCAGGACAGGGAGAAATTCTTTATCCAGAAGGTCTGAAGGTATCTGTGTGGCCAAACATGAAAAACACCATGAGAATAAGACTATCCCCCCAATTACACATTAAAACAGGAAAAAAAAAAAAAAAAATCCTTCTACTTATCTACTGCTGGCTATTATAAATATGAATTAAAGCTTACTCATCCAGATTGAACTTCTGTGGCACTTACATATTTTGAGAGCCACATATTAACCCTTCTTCTGTCACTCTCCCCACCTTCCAATTAGAACAGCACTTTCGAAGGGAACAGACAACACGAACTTGGCCATTCCAGAGTACGCAGCAAAGAAGTAAACACTCAAACCAGGAGGTGGTAAGGAACTTTTATAAGCAATTACATCTGTCCTTAGCAACCTCATTAAAATTTGAGATTCTCAGTCCATTAATAAAAAAAAGAAAGGATAAGCAGTCCCCAGGTTACAAATGATATCTGTTCCCAAGTGTGTCTTTAAGTAGAATTTGTAGGTCAGTGGGAACAGGTGCATACAGTTCTTATTCAGCCTGATTTTAATGGAAGAAAAGGCTCAAAGCTTTTTTAATAATTAAAAAGCTACAAGTGCAGCAAGTGAAAGTGACTGTGAACAAGAACTTGTTGCAAGTAGGGGCTGGTTCACTCGTTTCAAAGTGAGGGCAAATTTACATCACATTAAAGCCAGGGCTTCCAAACAGCACTGCCCCACCCCAGGACGGCGGCCCCCACTCGAGGATGGCAGCCGACCACACCACTCCGTATGTGCGTCACCCTCCATGGGCCTGGCAGTAATCCAATCACATGCATCAGGATCCTGAAAGCCTCACTATGCCTGTTCTGAGTCTCTCATTCCAGGGTTTCGATCCTTAATTTTTCCTGTTCTAGTTACTATGACAAATCACCCAAATTGTAAAACTTCCGGTCTGTTCCTGTTTTGTTTCATCGACCATGACAGAACCGGTTGGAAACCCTGCATTAAAGGGCCAGTAGAAGGTGTCCGTAAGTCGGACGTTCATAACCCAGGGACTGCCTCTATACTGAAAAAAGCAGAAAATATTATTCTCAGTCAGATAATGAAAGACCACTTTAAATTATACTGTTCACTTTCTGATCATTTATAAATGACAGAAATGCAGTGCCACATTTTAAGATTCTCTCTGCATTAAAAATGTTATATTTAACTCAAAAGAGAAAGAACAAAGAAGCTGCCCCTCCCTTCGCTCCTTACATCCCCCTGGAACGTAGGGTAACAGGTGCAATAAAGAGAAGAAAAAAATCCTTTACTCAATCTATGCTGCCCAGCAGGGACAGAAATAAAATAAATATAAAAGAGGGATTGAGAGGACACTGGTCACAGAAGACGTGAAGTGCTGACAAGTCTCCTGCCTTAGTTATGTCTTCTCTAAAAACAGAGTATGTTGCACTTAGAAAAGCCTGTTAACTATTTCAGGTTTCAAAGTATGAAAAACAGTTAAGGTGGAGAGAAAAAGCATGGGTCAAGACATTAGTAGAACACATTATTTTAAACAGAACAATGCACCCCCATCCATCACTGAGTTGTCACTGTTAACCACTGTCAAGTCAGACCCCAACTCATGGCCACTCCAGGCACAGAGGGCTAACACACGCCTAGTCCTGCACCATCCCCATGTGGCTATGGGCTGGATCACCATGAGCCACAGGGCTTTCATTGGCTGGTTTTCAGGAGATCACCAGCCTTTGTTCCCAGTCCATTTCCGCCTGGAAGCACCACTGGATCCTGCTCAGCAGCACAGCCACACACAGGCCTCCACCAGCAAACATGGGGGCTGTGCGAGAGGTGCCGTGGCCAGAAATCAAAGCTGGGTCTCCCAAGGGAAGGGGAAAATTCCAGCACTGAACCACCAATGTCCATCACGGGACATTTCCCAAATTCTCATTCATAACGCTGGGTGCTTGTCTTCTATTTTCTTACCTTGTTGTCTTTAAGAAAAAGTGCTAACATTTCTTCTCTGCCATAACGATAGTCGGCTAACTTATACTTCGGCAAGGCTGGAGAAAGAGGAGGGGATGTAATACTCCCGCCGCTGGACAGAGCTCGAAGCCTAAGTAAGAGACACAGAATGTACACAAGCAGTGTCAGACAGCCGGGCACTGTGAACTTTTAATTTTTATGTAAACATACTGTAAAACAATTTCATTTGAGTTCTTTCAAAGGGCTGAAAGAGATCCTATTACACTCAAGTATCAAATATTTTACCTTTAAGATACCCCACTATCAGAACATCATGAGCATTTCACTGAGCAATAATGAGACCACAGTGTGGTGATCCCTTAACCTAAAAAGCTATGGAGGCACGTCTCTGAGACGCTTGGATGGCAGAGGATAAAGGGAAAACATTTTTCTTCCATTTAAAAAAGTAACACATGATTAAAATAAGTTTTACACCCATCAAACTGCTAAAATTAAAATATCTGATAATACTGATAAGGATGGGAAACAATGAAAACTCTCAAGTAGTGTCTGCAGGATTATAAACTGGAATAATCCCTTCAATGAATGATGTGGCAATATAAAATAGGCTATATAGAAGAAAAGGAAAAATCAGACACTCGTAATAAAGAATAACCTTTATATGAAATGTATAAACCTGCAAATCAGTTTATTCAGTTTGTGTTGGTGTTGGTGTTGCTGTTAGGTGCCTTCAAGTTGGCTCCGACCCATAGTGACCCTATGCACAGCAGAACGAAACACTGCCCAGTCGTGCGCCAACCTCACAATTCCTGCTACACTGGAGCCCATCACTGCAGCCACTGTGTCAATCCATCTCACTGAGGGTCCTCCCCTTCTTCACTGACCCTCTACTCTACCAAACATGCCATCTTTCTCCAGGGACTGGTCCCTTCTGACAGCATGACCAAAACAGGTGAGACAAAGTCTGGCCATTCTTGCTTCCAAGGAGCATTCCGGCTACACTTTTTCCAGGACAGATTTCTTCGTTTTCTGGCAGTCCATGGTATTTTCAGCATTCTTCATCAACAACATAATTCCAAGGCAATAACTCTTCTTTGGTCTTCCATACTCATTGTCCATCTTCCACATGCACAAGGCAACTGAAAATACCATGGCTTGGGTCAGGCGCACTCTGGTCTTAAAAGTGACATTTTTACTTCTTAACACTTTATAGAGGTCTTTTGTAGCAGACCTGCCCAGTGCAATGCAACATCTGATTTCCTGTTGCTTCCATGGGTATCGACCATGGGTCCGAGTAAAATGAAATTTGTGACAACTTCAGTCTTTTCTCCATTAATTGTGATGTTGCTTATTGGTTCAGTTGTGAGGATTTTTGTTTTCTTTATGTTGAGGTATAATCCATACTGCAGACTGTAGTCTTTCATCTTCATCAGTAAGTGCTTCAAGTCATCTTCTCTGTCAGCAAGCAAGGGTGTGTTATTTGTATATCATAGGTCGTTAATGATTCTTCCTCCAATCCTGATGCCACAGTCTTCTTCATATAGATACTGTCTATGAACACATATAAAATACAGTAAAAGCATAAAAACAAGCCCGGCACCAACAAATACAAAATTCCAGATACAGTAATGTCTGCAAAGGGAAGGAGAGGAATGAGAGAAGGGCATCAAGGAAGAGGTGATTATGCAATACTTTCCTCTTCCAGCTTCATGATGAATACATGGGTATTTAACATAATTTTTATTTTTATATGCCTATATTTCATAATACAGTTTTAATAAAAGTAATTAATGTTCAATGTAGACAATTCAAAAATGAAGAGCATAAGAAAAAAATAAAGACCATATCTACTGCTAAGAAAAAATAAATAAAAAGCAAACTCCAAGCAATTCCATCTAACAAACGGAACTGGGGAAAAGAAAATTTTTCTTGTTTAAAAATAAATTGTTATTTAAAAAGACAGGAAACAAACTTCAGCAAAAAACCTGCAAGAGTTAAGAGTCTACTACTGCTGCTCTGTGTCAAACAGGAAATGGGAGAATTTGTATTAGGAGCAACTAATAACCTGGGATCCTCAAGGATGTATAAGGAAATACATATCAAAGCTACCAGGGGCCCTGGTTCTTTAACTCAGTAGCTTAGACTAAGGTGAAATCCAGCAGAAGCACTGAAATACATGCTCTCAACTGCTAAGCTTTATTCATAAAGGCAAAGAGTAATGTCTTATTAAATTATTACACATTAGAAATAATTATGGTTAAGTGAAAGCATAGCACACACTTGTATATTATTCAAAGATGGCAAGATAAAATAGTATATACATTGTGAATATATAAAAATGTGTTTAACATGTAGAGAGTAAATCTCTATTAGTAACGAGGCGGTAGATTCATTTTAATTCAATGTCTTTATCCTCTCTTTCCACTTGTTCTGAACTTTTGATTACAGACCATCGTGAGCAAGAAAGATACAATAAACTCTCATGTACCCATCGCTCAGCCCCAAAACCAGCAATGGATGGCCAATCCTGCTCCACCCACAATCTCATCTAACTGCCCTTCAGTATTCATTTTTGAAGGAAATCATAGGCTTATCATTTCATCTGTGAATATTCCAGAGTGTATGTCTAAAAGACAAGTTGTTGTTGCTGTTAAGTAAAGTCGTTTCCGACTCATAGCGACCCCATGCACAGCAGAACGAAACACTGCCCGATCTCGCGCCAGCCCCACAATCCCTGCTATACTTGAGCCCATCATTGCAGCCACCGTGTCAATCCATCTCGTTGAAGGCCTCCCCCTCTTTCGTTGACCCTCCCACCCTCCAAGCCTTCTCTAGGGAATGGTCCCTTCTGACAACATGACCAAAATAGGTGAGACGAAGTCTGGCCATTCTTGCTTCCAAGGACCATTCTGGCTGCACTTCCTCCAGGGCAGATCTGTTAGTTCTTTTAGCAGTCCATGGTACTTTCAGCATTCTTCGCCAGCACCACAACTCAAAAGCATCAACTCTTCTTCGGTCTTCCTTACTCATTGTCCAGCTCTCACATGCATATGAGGTGACTGGAAATATCATGGCTTGTGTCAGGCGCACCTTAGTCCTCAAGGAGATATCCTTGCTCCTCAGCACTTAAAAGACAAGTACTTTTCCTTAGAAGAATGGATTTTGCTGTTACACCTATAATGTAGTTTTAACATTTTTCTCTGCCCTAATGAGGCAGTCTGCTTCCCTAAAGATTGACAGTCTTGGAAACCCTATGGTGCAGTTCTACTCTGTCCTTTAGGGGCGAACTGTGAGTTGGAATTGACCTCATGGCAGTGGGTTTGGGTTTCATGTAAATTGATGACTGACTATCAAAGGTTAATCAGGTTTGTTTTCTATTTTTTGACAAGGCTACCCATATGTGGTAAAATGTTATTCCGGTAGGAAACACATATGATGACATGATGCTAGCAGTCACTGATGATCAATGCTTAGATTCGTTAAGTTTACTAAGGGTGCAAAGTAATCTTATTTCATCCCTGCTTGTTTGTTTATTAGCTGGAATACTTTTAAAACAGAAACTTCTCTCATATACTATTTGGTATAGCTACCCAATGATATTGTTTGTACAGGAAAGGAAGAAAAAGGCCTTGATAGTTTTTCTTTTAATTTATTACTTTTCACAACTATGATCTGGTTCACTACCAACCTCCAACTTTTATTAGTATGTCTTATTGCATTAGTGTGCTACAGTTACTTTTAACACTGCTCATACTGTCTCATCTTTGGCCAGTAGGAGCCTCTTCAGGTTGCCTCCTGAGCCCTTTAACACAGTTTTAGTCGAACAACTTCTTTTAAGGGCTGTCAAGTGTTTCAGGCTCATCTTAAACTATTTCTTGCCTCAGCATTGGAATCAGCCATCTCTTCAGGGAGCCCTAGTTCTTTTACAAAGACCACAATCTCGGTACTAGGAGTGCTTACTGCTACTGGGTTGGTCTTTTGCTTTTTTTCCAATTATTCTTGGGCGTAGAGGTCATTTAGTCTAACTCCAAAAGGCAGGTTAGACAACTACAAACAATATGCCCACAAAGAGTGGTCCAATCACCACTGAAGGACCTTCCAGGAAATTGATTTCCATCTGATTCACATCAAGAAGTGGGATTCACATCCACTGAGCACTGAGGCTAGTAACTTTACACATACATTATCTCATTTAATCTTTACAAAACCAAAAACCAAACCCACTGCTGTGGAGTCAATTCCAACTCATAGCGACCCTATCTGGCAGAGCAGAACTGCCCCAGAGGGCTTTCAAAGCTGTCATCTGTACAAAAGCAGGCTGCCACATCTTTCTCCCCTGGAGAGGCCGGCGGGTTCAAACCGTCAATCTTTTGGTTGGCAGCTAAGCTCTTTAACCACTGTGCCACCAGAGCTCCTTCTTAATCTTCACAACAATCCCAAAACAACAGACAAGAAAAACGAAGTTGAGGGGTTAAATAACTTACTTACAGTCACAGCCAGAAAAAAAAAAAGACTCAAACCTAGGGTCTTATGACTAAAAAGACCATAATCGTTCCAACAATGAAGTCTCAAAACTGCATTTAAAACAGCCTGTGTTTTGAGTATTCTAGTTTGTTTTTCTTTAAATATTACCCTTGTTTCCCCATAGTTCCTACAGTAGAGAGCACTCTTGCAGGAGAAAATCATTCCAACACTGGAATGATCCCACCAGGCTTCACTCTCCCTGGCCTGAAGTCCCTAACCCTTCAAGTGCATTATCAAAGAGGACCCCAAGAATTCTGGCTTGAGTGAAGGGCACACTGTGGTATGAAGGTCAAATAAAAGCAATTTAAAAGGGCAAAAAATCATAAGCTCAGTTTCAGAAAAATATGTAGTATGAGACGCCGATAAGACATTCAAGTGGCAAAACCAAACAGGCGGCGGACTATCCCGAACCACCTTTCTAGCATTACAACATCTGAGGGAAATGACTGATCTGATGTAAATTTTTTCATGAGAAATTCAAAAGGAGGGACCCTGCTTTCACTCATACTGTCTCAGTACCTAACCCGAGAGGGACCACAGCAGGCGGTAAAACGTTTCTCAACAGATCTTGACACCCTCTCCTCCCTTCAAAACCACACCTCTGGA